CTTGACAACAAACTATATAAACCTCTGTATCGACTCCATCTAAACTGATGATGTGGATCTATGCACAGATGTACATTTCCAATTCAAAGATCAAATACTTTACCAAATGGTGCAGCTTGAAATTACTTTATCCTTCACTATTTTCAGACGAGTTTCTTTATTCTAAACAATGTACTCAACCATTTATTATCCAAAACAACTTGTAGCTTACATGGTCTTTTAGTCTTTCAAATGACATGTACATGTAGTTGAAAGCCGGTCACTTCATTTTCCACTTCCATGTATTGCTGTCCTAACAAATCTTATTCAAAAAAGCACTCAAGACAAATCCAATGAAGGTATTTCCTCAAGAGTTGTAACTATCTTAACAGATTAAACAGTAGCTGTATGCCATTTAAAAGCAATTTTTTAAATCATACATTGTGACACGTCCATGACATATGCATAATTTTGAGGTTTTTGGTATAACTTATTTGGTATGGTTTTTTCCCCCCTTTTTTGTTACAACTTGTTAGGTATGATTCAACTTGTATGGTATGAAATCATGGTATAACCTTTCAGGTTTGATCATTCAGGTACAACTTATTTGGTATGAATCTTGGTTCAACTTATTTGGTATAAATCTTGGTTCAACTTATTTGGTATGAATCTTGGTATTACCTTAATGGTATGATTCTAAGTGCATCTTATTTGTAATAATTCTTCATATAATGATACAACCTCTATAATTAAGATAAATTTTCCCAAATGACACCTGCTGAGACATATTCCACTTGTAATTTATTATCTCAACTCTACAATAAGATGTGTCCCAAAGCTTTAACACATATAAATGGAAATACAGGAAACATGTTTGAAATTGCATTGCTTAATTGGATATCTCAATTTCAAAAGCATGTCAATAGTTATCATTGGATTATACCTTGTATAAAATGAACATAGTGATTCTGTTTTATCTTCCAGACAACAGTGTATGAAATAGGTTTGATCTTTCTAACATTAGTGAAGCATAGCATATTGTACGTTCCACCAACATTTTTTCGGTGATAGTTCATTAAATGATACTTATACTGTTACAACATTTTGTTACCATCCCACATGTGTTTTCCCCTAGTTAAACCTTTTTAACTTGATATAATAATAAAAGCTATAAAATGTACAAGAAAAGACAAATATAAAATGAAAATTTCTTTATTCATTAAAAACGTTAAGGAATTGTAACATACAAGTCTAGATAGAACATAAATTTTGGTAGAAAAGTACTCAAAGAGCACTGATGTATGGGATAAAATAGCTACAAACAGGTCACTCAATACATCTACAAATATAGTAAAACTTTATATATATATATATATATATAATATATACATTACAGAAACCTGAAATTTTTCCATACATACCAGGTGAAGCAAGTTTCATTGCATTGGTGCATATTATATAACCATATATTATGTTTACAGCCATCAAAGACTTCCATAAAAACCTCACTTCAATAAAAACAGATTTTCTCTGCGTATTTATACATATCATAAAATCTGGTTTTGGTCCTTCAATATCAATTTACCCATTTTTCTTTGCCTTTTCTAACTAAGCATGCCTATTATGTGGAGATTTTGTGACAATAATGTAACACATTTCTTAGATTTAAAAACAGAAAACAACCATAAAATGAACTCCGAAACATCGTCCTGATTCCTCTAGGTAGGGATCCCTACTTTTTTTTCACCAGCAATGAAACAAAGCGACACAAAATTGCAAGAGTCTATCATGGTATAACCAAAAGTGATCAACATCATATTACACAATGACTTAATCATCACCCTTATAGCTAAACAAGGACAATAAGAATAAATATATGTTTAAATAGGTTATCAAATACATTCTTCCTCAAATTTTCTACAGGAAAAAAAATATCTAAACATTACATATTACGACTTATGATACTGTACAAATAATAATGAACATTTCTTATTAATGAACAAGAAAAAGTCTCCTCTTTTTTTTAGACCTTCATCAGAACCTATAGGTTTCTCATAATTTGAACATTTTTAGCACTTTAAAAATACTTTTTAATTATTTTCCAGCTTTTTTTAAGAAAACCATTTTTAGCACTTTTACGATATATTATTTTAATTATCTCAGAAACTAATTTAGAAATTTTCAAACTTCTTTCTCAAACATGTTGCATTTATATTTATCTTCAAATTTTCCAACATTTTTTTATGTCCTTTTATGTACAAAAAAAATTTGTGGCTGCATGATTAGGTATGTAGAGAAAGACAATAAAATGACATTTTTTTTCCAAGTTTTTAAAAACATATAAAACAAAAACATACGTAAAGATGCGCAACAAACAGTACATTTATATGAGTCAATCTTTGAACTATAAACTACAACATATTTCATCAGTACAGAAAGGTCATTCAACCCCTAACCTGCTCAATTACTTAAATAGACATGCCCATCTTATATTCTGGAAATTCCCATTATCAATTTTCGGGATATTAAGATGAAAAGTTACTCAGCCACCAGAATAGATGCTGGTCGGACTACACAGTCCATGTACAGGCTGGCCAGACTCTATACTGGTGGCAAAGGCTGGTCACATCTGATTCCAGCAGGTTATGGGTTAATAAACAACTATCTGAATAAATTTATACATCAGTTCATATGTACAAAAAATAAGATACACCAGATAGATTACCTATAATAAATACAAGTTTCGTGTATTCGTAGTGCAAAATTTCATCTTAATTTCATTCATTCTTGAAACATTTTTATAACATTTACATTTGTTTGAACATTGTGGCAATGAACAAGAAAACAAACATGATTCTTTTTTCACTTTTACACAAGTGTTCAAAACATATTTTTTGTATCAAATCTGAGTAAAATCCAAAATAATAAGGACATGATTCTGCTTATAAACTGGCCAACACAAGGAGAAATATCATGATGCATTTTATCTTCATTACAAAAAAATCATATTTCCATGTTTGCCTTGGAAAAGTATTGTAAAAAAATATTAAATGTGAAAAAAAAAATAATCAAATTTCAAAATAATAGTACCCGCACCTAAAGATTTGTGTAATTGAAAAGGAAAAAAAAAAAAAAAAAAAATGGAACAGGACTCGGGCATCTAGAGGACTCTAATGTCCCACCACACCATTTAAAAAATGAACATTTAAGCTGATTCAATCAAACACATGGTGTAAGTGGTCACCCCAAAGTTATCAAATGGCAGTGACAGGAATATGTAAATTATCGCAGGTAGTAAATTTATTGATCTTTAGTTAAAAGAATCTCATTATGTACATGTATAATATTAAGCATCATGAATTTGTGTCAATATTTGAGCCGTGTCACGAAAAAACCAACATAGTGCGTTTGCGACCAGCATGGATCCAGACCAGCCTGCGCATCTGTGCAGTCTGATCAGGAACAGCATGGATCCTGATCAGACTGCGCGGATGCTCAGGCTGGTCTGGATCCATGCTGGTCGCAAACGCACTATGTTGGTTTTGTCGTGACACGGCTCATTTGAATGATTATTGGGATATAGAAACAGTTTAAGAACAAGTTTTATAGCTGAATTGAGATTACAAATCCTAAATCAAAGCTGGTATAAATGTAATAATGCCTTAATCCCTCATATGTATATATAACAACGAGATTTCTGGGATATCTAGTAAATACAGTTTCTTTTGGGAAATTTAGTAAATAAATATCTACATACATTTCAAAAAAACTGTTTTTTCTTACTGGATTTCCAAGAAACATCTTGTTTATACACATCAGAAAACATGAAATCTCATGACATCATAATAATAAAAAAATATCCTCAATAGGTATATGGAAAGAATAAATTGTCTGAAATTGTTTAAAGAATATAGAATAATATAACTGCAAAAAAAATCAGCAATAATTTCACAGAAATTAAATTCAGCTGGAAATGCTATCCATCATTCACGATTATTTACATAGTATAAGAAAAGCTGTCCTGAATTTTTCTGTGTTAAAGCACAGCCCGGTAAAAAAAATCCTATTATGTTAAAATGCTGTTGATTATAATAATAATAATGTAAGATTTGAAAGTTTTAGCTTCTAATAAAGTAAAACTACTGTATACTAAAAACAGACAAGTAGTTCTTATTCAATATATCCTACTTATCTAAATGCAGAAATCTTTAACGGGCCTTCCGTTAAACTTTTTCACTTGAGGAAATATTTTCATGATTATTGATTAATAAATACATAGTTAATATAATTTATAATTGACATTGGATAAATAAGAAAATAATTACATCATTATATAAGACTACAATAACTCTCTCGTATCTATAAAATTACATGTAACCTGTGACCTGCTGGCATCAAGTGATTAGCCTTTGCCACCTGAGTATGGAGCCAGGCCAGCCTACTCATCCGTGTAGTCTGACCTGGGTCTAAACAGTTGGTAACTCAATTTCTGAATTTGAATATTGAAATCTCTTTATTTTCAATTGGACTGTGTCAATATCAAAAGGGGGCATTCCTGAATATCAAAAGGGTGCATTCCAATAGCAAAAGGAGGCAAATCCATTACACAAGTTCAGAAGGCAAAGGGCTAAAATATATAATGCAATTGTTCACTTTATGGCAGGCGAACAATATTCTTTTGGAATGTAAGAGAAAACTTTCTAGAGTGACCTATTAATCTACACATTTTCACATTAAGTAGATGATTCTGTATCAACAAAATACAAAACTTGTGTAATAAAAACTTCAGTCATTTTTTTTATTTGTTCATAACCTCTATGTGAACAATTCATTCACAATTTAATTTGTAATTTTCTGATTTCTTATGATTAAAGTATTCATTAGAGAACCATTGTGTGCCAGTTTAGTACAATTTACACAAATATAAACTTTAAAGCTTACAAATTAATCAAAATATTAAACCCCGCCTTAAACTGAATTCCTTTACCTGGCTTAAACAGTTAAAAATTACTTTTGCCTAACTGATTTTAGTGATCATCAAATGTTTACACTAATTATTAACCTGTGTGTTCTGTTTGTTTAACACCAAGTATTAACCTATTTGTTCTGTTCCTAAAATGTTATTGGTTTACACTAAGCATTTACCTATGTGTTCTGTTCCTAAAACGATATGTGTTTAAACTAAGTATTTACCTAAGTGTTCTGCTCCTTAAACAGTATTTGTTTACACTAGAAGAATTTAACTATGTGTTCTGTTCCTAAAATGGTATTTGTTTACTCTAAAGTATAAGCCTAAGTGTTCTGTTCCTAAAATGGTATTTGTTTACTCTAAAGTATAAGCCTATGTGTTCTGTTCCTAAAATGGTATTTGTTTGAGATTTACCACGATTCTAATACAGGATGATCAGGATCACAACAATATACATAATAAGAGGTCACAAACTTGGTGGATTGGAAATCACAGTGACATGTTTTGGGTGAACAAATAACATTGGAATAAGAGACTTACTAATACCAGGATGTAAAACATTTATATGTGGCTTACTATTTTATACATGGTGTAAACATGCTTTTAAATAAGGTCAGGAACACAAATGCATCTTTAGACTCTAGTTAATATTTAACTGAGAAAGCACTTTTTACATTTTTGAGTGACATGAATATTAACCTACAAACATAATGGGTCAACAGACACTAAAACTTGTGGAACTGAAATTGTGCACAGTAACATTAGCCTAAGATGTAAAGGAATTCTGTAAATAAACCCCAATTTCTAGAAGGGGGTTTTGTAAGTGTACACCCATTTATAAGTATGTAGAAGACTTGAATTTGTACATCGACCTGTGCTGTGTGAAATTTAGAAGGGCAACTCTTATGTTTGGAGACACTAACATACATAGTGGGAATGTTAGTGTACACCAAGTTATATTGTCTGATTTGAAGTGTACACCAAATTACATAAGTATAGCCAGATTTGAAGTGTAGACCAATTTATATTGTGCAAATTTGGAGAGTGTACACCAATCAATTCAAATTGGATTAGTATGTACACACCAACTTATACAGCGGAAATTTGGAGAGGGTACACCAATCAATATGTGGAATTACCAACTTATATAGTGGTAATTTGGAGAGGGTTCACCAATCAATATAAGTGGAATTACCAACTTATATAATGGAAATTTGGAAAGTGTACACCAATCAATATAAGTGGGATTACAAACTTATATAATGGAAATTTGGAGAGAGTACACCAATCAATATAAGTGGGATTACAAACTTATATAATGGAAATTTGGAGAGTGTACACCAATCAATATAAGTGGGATTACAAACTTATATAATGGAAATTTGGAGAGTGTACACCAATCAATATAAGTGGGATTACAAACTTATATAATGGAAATTTGGAGAGTGTACACCAATCAATATAAGTGGGATTACAAACTTATATAATGAAAATTGGAGAGAGTACACCAATCAATATAAGTGGGATTACAAACTTATATAATGGAAATTTGGAAAGTGTACACCAATCAATATAAGTGGGATTACCAACTTATATAATGGAAATCTGGAAAGTGTACATCAATCAATATAAGTGGGATTACTAACTTATATAGTGGAAATTTGGAAAGTGTACATCAATCAATATAAGTGGGATTACCAACTTATATAGGGGAAATCTGGAAAGTGTACACCAATTTATATAAGTGGGATTAGTATATATACACTAACTTAAAAAGTGGAAATTTTGAAAGTGTACAATCAATATAGTTGGATAGGGAAGTGTATAACAACCTGACCATTAAAATTTGGAGAGTACAAATGAAACCAATTCTAGTTTTTTAAAGTTCAATTGATATTTAAATCAAACTTTTAAACTATGTTTGAAAAACATAAGATAAAGATAACCAGTAATGTTCCAGGTAGTAAAATGTAATAATGATAGGATTAAAATAGTATTTAAGCACTTTAGTAAAAGGGGAACTGAAGAATTTTTTTTAATTCCACTGTGACAAACACTTCATAAGTACAGGATTTACATGCGCAGCACATATAACACACAACAACTTTATAAGTGAATACATGAGCCAGTATTTGACAGATAAGGTCTTACAACATTTACATGGAAATTTACTATTGATAGTATAAAATTATATACTTTAATGAAATGATGTATCAATCAAGTCCCATTTGACCCTTATTTCTAATTCATAACTTTTTTTTTATTTTTAGAAGATTTTTATACCCTGTGATCTCCCTTTATATATATATTAAACTCTAAAAACAAATATTTTAGTACTCTATTTTCAGTTTTGAAAAAAAAAAATATAAATAAAAATCACTAAACCAAGCATCTAGGCTAACTCTAAACCAAACTAAAACTAGGAGTAAAATATTGCAATCCTTGATAGAAACCTCAAACTATATCAAGGTGCACTTTTGTCTAATGTTGATGTCTATATTTAGTGGTTTCTAAACACAGCTCACCAATTTAATAAGTTCACCTACACATAGATAAAATTACACACATCTTTCCATTAATATGAACTTTAATTCCACCCTCCATTATGCTTAACTTGTCTAGCTTTTATTAATATCAAACTTTTTTTTCTTATTTGAATTTAGGTATTCATAAAATAAAAATGTTTTAGCACTTTTACAGTTTGGCACATCTTTGTTTTACTGGGCTTTATCATTTTTTAAAAATATTTTTTGTGTGCATTGTAAAACCCCTTCTTTCAATTTTGTTTGCAAAAGTCACGGAAATGAAAAATCTGGAATGTAAATATTATATGCTGAAGGCAGTTCTAAGAAGAAAAAAAATCCCTATCCTTTTTCATTGAAGCCTATCCGCTTCCAAGAAGACAGTCCTGCGCCCAGTAAACAAAAATCTAGCCAATCTATATATGATTAGTTTCTCCCACTGAACAAAAGGGAAGGACGTTGAAATGTAATGAAAAGAAACATTATAACTCTACAGCTATGAATATCAGCACATATACCCTGAATACACATATATTCTATACATTTAAATATTTGAACTCATTACTATGCACACTTTGAAACCACTAGTTTGCATTGCCTCTATCAAAAGACAAAATTGCATCATATAGAATCAGAACTTAACTAATCCACGTCCTCAGTAGTATATTTATTCAGTTTTTTGCATCAACCATGCCAGTAATTGCCTTTTAAGTTATGATTTATTAAGTCCTATTTGTGGTCAATACACTGAATAAATTAAAGCAGCCTTATATATTTATATCTAGTCAATAATCGCTTAAAATTCTATAGTTTTTTTTTCCGTATACTTTTTATCTTATGATGTTTTTTGTCTAGAGATGGTCTAATAATTATCTTCTCTGTATCAGTGAAATATTTTTATGATGAATGCTAGCTTATATATGACCTGTAGTGGGCTGATGACCAGTGCAGATCATGATCAGCTGATATGTTTATGCTATATGATCATGACCTACACTATTCAGTTAGCAAATATTTTAGAAAATTTCCCTAAAATGATCAATGGTTTTTGTCCAGATTGAAAGATGGACTAGTCTATTTTAGACATTTAGCATGGGAATGGATAAATATATATATATATGTGGGTAAATATGTTTATAAAAATTGCACGTGATATTTTTCATATGAGCTGCAGAACAGTAAATCTGTCATAATGATATGATATGGGAAGAAAAAAAAACAACATGAGCATATTACAACAAGAGGAGAGTATATGTAGCGAGGGAAATTTTTTCTCGAGGAATTGCTTATTGCTTTAACTCTCCCAACTACAACATTGTACACACTGAAAGCATTATGCATAACACAGTTTCTGAAAATTGTACGGGAAAGAGGAGTATGCCTTTTATCTTGCATTGTTCAGTAATACAGCACTTTTTGAATAATTTTTGGATTTAAGTAATATGGTAGAGGATATTTTTCTCTAGTTTGCACTTTTGATTGACGTAACTATCTAAATAGACTTGATGCTTCATCTCTCACATTGATAGATGATACACAGTTTCTTGCGAGCGGAAAATATCAACATATCCAGGAAAAAGCTAATGAGCTTCTTGACTTACACTATAAGGCTCAATAGCTTGATAATTTTCCACAAATGTACAGTATCATCAATGCATAAAACCCTTTTAAAATGTATGTTAAAAAATAGTTAAATTTGTTTTTTATACACAGCTATATAGCAGTCAATGGTTTGTAAATGTCTACACATCGCCTTACGGAATCCATGAATGAAATGTGATTAAGTAAAATAACACATGCAGCGCGTTCACAGATTAGTAGTGGTTTCGGAGTTAAGAGCAATATCTGGTGATGCAAGTGGACTTGTAGGCTGGCCGCTGTGCTGCTTCTGAAACTTGGAACCTTGGAAAGAGTGAATGCTTCGCACAGAGGTAAGACTATGGCTGTCATACCTTGTGTCAAGCCCCATGCGGAAAGCGTTAACAACCCGGATCTGAAATGCACAAAATCGGGTAAAAACACAAAACACGTTCTAAAAATACAACAAAACACAAATTTGCAAGCATGGTGAATGGATAACGACTCTCTGCTAATGGATATATGCAAAACTGTAGAAATCATACAAAATATATATATATATATGTTAAAAATAAAAAAAGATCTACAACATAAGGTTAAAATTTTATGTTGACACAAAATGGATGAGTGGATAACGATGACTGTGGGTAAATATCAAACCAGTTCTCTAAATGCTATTAGGATGTAAAAACTACTACATAAAATAATTACAATAGCTAAAAAACACAAAAAAAATATGGGCTAAAAATTCAAATTGACTTTGCAAAAAAGAAGAAGAAAAGAAGTAAATATTAAAGAGTGATAGAATAAGCGATAAATGGGTAAAAATAGGTTGTAAGCAAATTATCACATATAGAAATGTGTTAGTAGCATAAAATCAACACTGTGAGAAAAATAAAAAATGAGGAATCCTTATATAAAAACACCAATAAGCCCACGAAAAATGACAAAAAGCGAAGATTTTTTTACTGACAAAGTTATATAACTATGAAGCAGCATTGTGCATGTTTATTCCTTGAAACAAAACATTTTTTTTTACTTTAAATCTTACAAGAAAATAAAACATGAAAGGCTGCCCAGTTAATAAAGCAAACAGAAAGCATTAATTATTAACTACAATGTACACAATACTAAAACCATATGAAAGAATGAACATGGGCCCAATCTGTAACACAAATCAAGTTAATTTGATCTGAAAACTACATATGTAACTGGTTAACTACAGTAAAACCCCTACAGAGCTGCCCTCTGTAGAGAAATCACCTTTTTAAACCAACCGTATCAATTTTTCCCCAAAATAAAACTTCACAATAAATTAAAACTCTTTAGAGCGAAAACCTCCCAGCATCAACACAAATCTATGTCTCCATAGAGGAACATTGCTCTACATAAACTGTAATGGATTGCCTATGA